TGTGGAAAAGTTTTCACCACAGCAGTGCCAATCGTTATCGTTTAGTTGACGTGTGTGCATAGTGCGCATATGACGATCCAGTTCGCTGCTGAAAAAAGGAAAAGCAGAAAAGTTATTCTCAACTGAAAACAAAAAGAAAAAATGGGAAACCAATGTCTTACTCGCTTTGAAAGGACTGCAAGTGACATCGAGCCACCGGACAGTAGTGCTCGGTGGTGGCGTGCATTGTGAGGAGGTGCTCCCTCAGTTCGGCTTCATTTTCCAGCCAATCTGAACACTTAAAACACTTCAAAAACTGGACAATGCATTTCTCGTCCGGTGACGCTGGTCCAGGACTGGCAGCAGTGATCGCTGTGGTATGCTGCGCCGATTGGAGTGCAGTGGAGTTGCTGTTCAGTTTGATTCTCTTGTTCTGATGGGTCATCTGGTTAGAGAATGCGGTGTTTGACAGTGTTCGCCGTCGACTCTCGCCGCCGCGTGCTGCCGTCAAAGCTGGATCAATTCTTGGAAGAGAAGACCAGTGGCTGGGGTCAGCATCGCGATGGGGAAAACTCATCTCGACGTTCGCTACTCGATTCGAACGGTGGGCGCTGTCCAGCTGTGAAACGTTACCATTGCTACCCATTACCGAAATCTCTTTATCTTCTGAAGTGCATCTTTGTGGCGTCCCTTCAGGCGTGGGCAGGAATGCTTGACTGCAAGCTCTGCCGTTCCTATCATCGGTGATGCGACCAAGTGATTCTTTCTGACGTTCTTCTGACTCCATTTGGTCGGCTTCACCACAACCATCATCAGTAACAGCCGCATTGCCGACTGTATGTATACGGCTTACGGTAAACTTCTTCTCCGGAGAAATTGACACCTCAAAGGTAGTGCTCACTGTCACCGTCGGTCGACCTTCTCTCTGGCTTACCACGTGCTCACTGATCCAGTCATGACACAGGTCGACCAGTTGCTTACGTATCTTGGGGCCTGCTTCCACATCAAAACTATGTTCCAAGTTTTTGTACAGCTGCCTTATCTCATCATTCGATGACGAAGCATATGATAGAGATTGTTGCGTTCTTTTTCGTTGTTCTTCTTCTTCCGATGGGTTCAACCCAATACTGTCCTCCTCAAACTGCCGCATTCTGCCGGTGTTGCTGCTTCTGCTGTTGCTGTTGCAAAGATGATGATCAAGTGACAGGTGGTGATGGTGGTGGCGGCAGCCTGAGCGAAACACTTCTGCAATGCACCTAACGAAAGTTGATCTACCTACACCAATTGTTGCCCCTCACGCTTTCAGGACAACTGGCGACAGAAGCAAGCGGTAGTAAACACACAATAATGGGAGTTGAAGACAGTGTGTGTGTGAGACAAACTCGATTAGGCGCACGTGTGTCCTGATAAACACGGATTTTCCGTTCACTCAGGCAGTGTATCAAACGCGCAGATGAGTGACGAGGGAGGAAGATGGAAGATGGAAGTGGAGAGTGAGAGAGAGAGAGCGGACACAACCGAAACGCAGCTCAGCTTCCACTATCGGGGGTTAGGTAGCAACTGTTCACGTGCAGGCGAGTTTGAGTTCAAGAGCAGAGAACGTAGTAGGTCTGAAGTGGTAGAGCACCCAGCCCGATATAGCAGTCCCATGCAAAGTTATGTCAACAAAAGAGTGAGATGATTTCAATCGACTGATGCTGCTTCAGATTTGTAATTTTTAGCTATTTAGGCATATATTGCTGATTGTGAAAGTGAGAAATGAAAAGTAATATTGTTAATGAACATGTTTACAGAGCAAGTGCTTAGAATTTCGATGCTGTCGTAATTGGCGAATGGGTAGTGAACAAAGCTTCAGTAAAGTCGACTTGGGATGACTGAGTAGCGACTGGTGGTTAGCCGACTGCTTTATACTCCCCAGCGAAGCATCAGCAGTATATCGCCAATGGCCTGCTAGCTCTACTGCCAGCAGAGCAAAGTGAAGCTGGTAAGCAAGCGCGGCGGTTCATTACTACGGACCTCTGCTTCAGTGACAGTGGTGTGTGTTCTGTTCCGCATGGTGGGACAGTGAGCAGTGAGAAGAGAAGTGTGATGTAGCACTGAAAGTGTTCAGTCAGTGCTGCTTAATTGCTTGGGTAGTCTAATGTCAGAGGATGTTGTGCTGTGGCATGTCTCTTATAGGGGAGGGCAACACAGTGCGATGTGAGCCAGTGTATTGGCTACGTCAAACAGCTTGGCGGGGGCTTCGAGGAAGTGTCTACGACGACAACGAGCGGCTGTCCCCAAATGGTCAGTCAGTGTGACCGAATTTAGGAAGAGAGAGCTTTTTAGGGGTTGGAACCCTAGTCACTACAGGGTTCGATCACAAAAACAAATTCAACAGTGTTTAAATCGCATAGTAAAATGTAAATGATTTTCAAATGTTTTAATTTTGTTCTGCAATGTTGCTTAAAATTAATGATATACATTTGACTTTAATTTTAAAAATTAAAACAAAAAATATCCTTGTTTCGGCGCGCTCACCATGTTTCCGTGTCCCCTACTACCCGAGTTCTCCGACGAGTAAAACAGTCAAGTTTTGTTGTTTGTTTTTGTGACGAGAATAAAGTCTGCTGACAATAAATTACAGATTTTTAAAGTAAAGATAAAGATGTGTTAAATCACTCTCGTTCATGTTTCAATTAATTAGAAGATGTTATGTTCCTGCTCACAGTGTCGCAAAACGCCAGCACGGACATTGGAGAAAAACTTGCAGCCGCTTACCATGCAGCTGAATCGGCCCTGGCATAGTAATGATATTAGAACAAATTACGTTTAAAAAGGTAAAAAATAAAAATTAACCTGATAATGGGAGGTGTACATGTGTATGTAGAGCTTCTTAGCGTCCTCAAATGGCGGAGAGTTGCAGTTGTTGTAGGGACACTTCCAGTTAATAATACGACGGTGGGCTAGAGCAAGGTGGCTATTCAACTCAGCATTAGTCTTGAAAGAGCTATTGCAGTGATACGCAAGGCACCTGTGTACAAAAGAGCAATCATGAATCCGCATTTGAGTTCAAAATATGTGATCCTTTTGCTTACATGAAAGGAAATTTGTTGTGCTCATTGAGAAGGTGCATATCGAATTGCTCTCTACTCGTCAGATAGGTGTTGCAGTTGTAAACGCATTTGGTAAAGTCGGTACGATAGCGGACAGTGGAATTCAGACTATGTTCAGAATCGTAGTGCTTAAGCATCGTCTGCCGACTAGATCCTTTGAAGTTGCACTTTAAGCAGAGGAATGTACCCAAATGGTGAGCGATGTAGTTGTGGGTGATCAAAGCTTCAGCAGAGTCCAGCACTTCATTGCAAAATGGCTTTGTGCAGTACCACACTTGAGCGTGAGGATGATTCATATTTCCATGAGCAATCAGGTCGTTACTTGAATACAAATTATGGAAAAACTAAGATAAAAATGATGCAAAAAATAACAACTTTACCTATTTTTAAACTGGCTAGTGCAGTACATGATCGGGCATGTGTACAACGGCGTCGAATGTGGCATGTTCATGTGATGGTTCATTTCAGGTTGAGTATTGAGAATGACTTTGCAATTCTCAACGGGACACTTTAAATTGCTAATGCTGAATTTGTGATGCTTGTCAACATGAGTGGGCTGGAGAGCGTAGTTTGTTTTAGAAAGAAGCTGAATTTTATAATCTTTCAAAGCTTGCTTGCTTTGAGCGTAAGAAGATGGAGAATCAGCTGAAGATGAAGATGAAGCTTTAGTTTTCTCCTGATCATGTTCTTCGTTTTGTTCAACTGTAGAATCGGAATCTGAACTGGAATTTACTACTTTGCTCATTTGTTGCGTTGCCTTTTTAGCTTCATTTTCCAACTTATTTTTGTTGCTTTTTCGAGGAGTTTTGAGATTTTTTTCAACATTTCCTGCGTTATTAAGAGCTGAGCTTTGCCCATCTTTCGTACTGTTGTTAGCGCTGTCCGACGTGGTTTTCTGTTTTTTGAACATTAAATTTGGGAAAGTTATATCATGTTCATCGTAAATCTCTTCCTTGATACCAACAAGAATGCCATTCGGGTCTGAGTTGCCGTTTTCAAATGATCGCTTGCTTTTGGTTTGAGTGACAGTTCGAGTGAAATTCTGATTTTGTTGCTGCACCGGTGCCTGTTCACTGTCAGTGCTTTCATCAATCACAAGATTTAAAGGCGAATTCTCAGGAATCAAGAAATCAGTTCTGTGCGTCGAGTTAGCGAAAGTGGTCTCAAAATCGTCTGGACTAACTTGAGTAGCCTTTTCTTCACAGTGTTTTGACTTTTGCAAATGCTCAAGGAAGACGGTAAAAAGCTTGTCCAAATTCTGGCTTGCCGAGAGCTTGAACTTCTCCTTCAGTTGCTCAAGCTCAGCAACTTGGTCCGCTGAATCTTGCATTAGAAGTTTGAATAATGAAAATGCTTTTTGTGATTTAGAAGGATGACAAAATGAAAATAGAAACGTGTTACATCATTTGAAGAGTGGAAGGAGAATGCGCATCAATTTGCAGAGCAAACCGTTTCCTGAATTTTTTGCCATTCATAACCTATGTGTACTTACACCTTATTTAGGCCAAGCTCGAGAATGGGAAAAGAGGAATAAAATCTGTTGACAAATTATGAGTATAACGTGGTCGTGAATTTAGCGGTGTTTGTCACAGCCATTTTTTGTCCATAAAATTCTAGCAATCTAAAGATTTGCCAAATCAGCTTTGAGTTGAGCCAGCCTTCCAACAAATGTCGATTCGCACCATTCAAATCAACGGTTACCATTTAACGGCAAAAGGGATTATTCGCAGACGATGTGTCGAAGGCACGGCAACAGTGGTGGTGGGGCTGGCAGTACGGGCAAGAGTGGTGAACGGACGTTGTGGTCAGCTACCACTACTCTGTGTCGATGTGACACATCATGTGTAGTTGGCCTTTTCTCCTAAGCACACACACATTGAAGATCCACCGGCTTTTTACTTCTTTTCTCTTTAGTACCCGAAGAAGATGCACCTTTTACCGACTTTCGGTTATCTTCTGGTTCTCTTTGGGGCCCTCATCGCCACCTCTGAGGCCTACTTTCTTGTGATTGACGCTCACGCCGAGGAGTGCTTTTTCGACCGCGTCCAGGCAGGAGCCAAGTTGGGTCTTACGTTTGAGGTCGCCGAGGGCGGATTCCTCGACATTGACGTCACCATCACCGGTCCCGATCAGAAGGTGATCCACCGAGAGGAGCGTGTTTCCAATGGAAAGTACACGTTTGCGGCACACATGGACGGTGACTACACGTACTGCTTCAGCAATCAGGTGAGTGATTGTAATTATAGCTGCTTTGTGGATGCCTAATTAAAGTCTTCTTTTGGCACTACCGCCGTCAATTTAGATGTCCACGATGACCCACAAAGTAATCATGTTCTCAATGGATATTCACGAGAAGGAGGTGGCCGCCACTGGGGCTACCAGCGATCACAACGTCGAGCACGACAAGCTGGAGCAGCAAATCGGCGAGTTGACGGCGTCTTTGACTGCGGTGAAACACGAGCAGGAGTACATGGCTGTGCGAGAACGCGTCCACCGGTCAATCAACGACAGCACCAACTCTCGCGTTGTCATGTGGGCCGCCTTTGAAGCGCTAATGCTCACCGCCATGTCTCTCGGCCAGATCTTCTACTTGCGGCGATTCTTCGAAGTTCGGCGAGTCGTCTAGTGGGCGCGAGAGAGTGCGTTTCCCAAGTGCTCAAGCGTGTTTATACCATCCAGCCAGTCATAACACCACCTCCATCATCTCCACAATACGCCTGATATATAAGATAGACCCGAGCCTAAAGTTTCTTATCTTATTTTTCAGTTTTCTAACCAATAAACATCTTGAGGTATCGCATCCACCGACGGGGATCCCTTCACTGCCCCCAGTGCCCCCTTCAGCGTGCAGCTCCGACCGACCGGTGGGCGCCATTGCCCCTCCACTTTCTTTCTTTCTCTCTCTCTCTTCTGCGAACGTCAGCTGATGTGACGTTGTTGTCTCTTTCTCTCTCGCCTTCTTTGTTTACGCTTCCTTTGCCTATCTTCCTCTCCTTTTGGTGCCTCTGTGTTGCATCTTTGTGTTCCTCCAGGCTCTGGGCGCCAACAGCTCTCCATTCCACCCATAAGCCCTCACGAGCTCATTGTACTGCGCCTACGTTGCACAGCCAGTGTAAGCACACGTACCCCATGGTGCATCGACAGCCTGAAGAAGAAGACGTACAATTCTTTAAGTGTACTACACTGTCACCACTACAGCTGTAGAGTGCCAACTTCAGGCAACCAGCACTCCAAACACACACACTCAGTCTACGCGTCGCACTACTGAAGAAGAGTAGTGCTCTTGAATCACGTAACGCCGCTTGAAGCCACGAGTGAGAGAGGGAGGACAACACTGCCTGGCGCCTGAAAACCAACACAACCACCGCCGCCACCACCACCATCACTACCACCGACGTCGTCATCGTTCGGTGCACCAGTCCACCAATTCAACTGAGTGAGAGAGAGAGAGAAGGTACACAGTCCAACAATCGACCTCGCTAGCGATGGCAAGACGAACTGACTCAAAGACAGCCGTACCTCGTTAGGAAGTTCTCTGCGAGAAGCAGTGAGTGCCACTTTGTTTGCTGGCTGCACACTCGCTGTCGTACATCAGCCAGTTCGGCAAATCTTATCACCAGCTGAAATCGACCTCTTCCATTAGGAAAGGTAGTGGTGCTCTGATATCACACCAAAACAACCTTCTGTCTGCATCTTTAAAGGAGCCACGAGTCATCGTCAGTCAGTTGTGTCAGCATCACTCGTACCAGAAGCATCAGCACTACTAACCGCAGAAAGCATCAGCAGCACTCATAAATCTGTCAGTGTGTACACTACTGTGCGCCACTGTTGTCGTGCGAACCCCTCTCCCCAATAACCGCCATTTGCAGCTGACTGCTATCGTCGTTCCTGCCACCATCTGATCAGGACATTGTTGCAACAGCAGTTGTTGTCCTCTCCTTCCCAAAATAGCATCACCATCGCCACACTCTGAATCGCCCTACTGCGCCTTTGAGCATACAGTCACACACAACTTGCTTCATTCTCGTTACCCTGCCGCTTGTCATCAACTGGTGTCAATTGCTTATCACCCACCATCACTCGCAGTTACGCAACGCAAGAGGAAGACTTGACTTCGAAGACGAGCTTCTCGACGCCTTCAGGACACCTCATCACACTAGACAGCAGCAGTCTATGACTTGGTAGTAACCTAAGGCCACTAGCCGTTTACAAATTGCCTATCGCCAGACTCGGCTTCGTTCTCGCATACTTTCTTCGCCAGACAACTCGTGTTTTGCGTGTGTGTTCTCACAAAGTAGCGCACCGTCACTGGAAAGTGTCCCTTTTCCTTTTCTCTTTTTGCACACATCGGCAAGTTGCCACCATCAACGAAGTCAACCAACTGTGGGGGTGAGTACTGGGGACGACTGATAGGCGGCAGTGAAGATGAGCAGCATGAACTGAGTTCATCTTTTCTTGGCCTGCAATCGCGCGCGTCTACAGCTGTCGATTGCCTGTCGATACATTACTCGTCGCTCGCCTGCAAGCAGAGTGAGCGCTGGTTCAGTCGTACATTTGACTGCTGCCAATTTAGGCGCTTTCGCTAATTAGACGCACCACTATCACTACCACACTTCTCCAACATTTACAGACATCGTCAGAAGGAGAAGTCGCAGAAAGAGTGCCGCCGTTGGGTGCGACGTTTTCTCTAGAGACGAGCCCTCGGTCACGATCATCGCACTGCCCCCGCCACCACTGCAGCAACATTCATCACCAATCAAACCTACCATCGCAGACATTGTGACATTGTTTGCTCTGCGCGGAACTGCAGGCACACACAC